CAAACAATGTGTTCCTCTTGCATTCTTGCTTGGATCCTTTTTGGCAAAGCTCGGAGGGCGAAGAGGTCAAGAAGGCCTCCCCTTTGACAGCTGAGGATGGCGCCAATTGACTCTTCAGAGACTTTGCTCTCTTTGATGAGATCAAATCGTCCGGATCTACCAAATTTGTTCATGAAACAATCCTGATCTAGTACATATCACATCATCAGAAACAGTTTCTGACACAAACATCTCATATCGGGAAGACCTCAAAATGGTCCTTGATTGACAAAACTGTGGACTGCCCTTCCGAGGCGAAAGAACACGGTCAAACATTGTTCGGCTTTGTCAATGCTAAGCTCCTTAGTCGGCAAGTTCAAAAACTTCAGGTAGCTTTTCTGCCTGCACCAACAGGTCGAAATTGGAAGTTTGCATCCTTGTCAACATATGACGGCTACAACCGACAAAGTCCCTGACTATTCTGGTGGTAAGGGTTGAGTCAATGGCCCGTACAATTTTTACTCTGGGTGCCACTAGCTACTTGCGACTGTGCATCTGGCCAATGTTTTCACTGACAATGTGGCTCAGTTTGAACTTTGTTTTTTGGAAGAGGTCTGCTCGCACAGTATCCGCCCACGTTTGAAGGAGATAGGTTTTCGAAAAGTCACAGAGCAACAAGAACTCTCAAGTTGTACACAAGCACCCATCTGCGTATAGCTGTGTGTGAAGCCCTTGGGTTCATAGGGATTCCGTTGAGTTTGTCCTTTTTCGTTGATTTGAGCGGGGGTGCCAGGGGCCGTGCAAGTCTGGCACTAACAAGGACACTTGCACTGGTCTGTGATATAGCTAGATGAACCTACGTAAGTGCAACGCGGTCTCACTCCTTGTTTTGCAGGAAGCGGCTAATGTAGTAAGCGTCTAATGCAGCGGCGATTCGGCTTCGTGAGTTGTCTTTGGGGGCCTTGGAGGTTTCTTGGAGGGTACCGGATTCAACTTACCTGAACTCTTAGGTTTTTCACTGAGGCTGACGTGTGGCAAACCGCAATCGAGTCAGTACGCATTTCCTGAGTGTGTCTCTCCTTAGTGAGAGCCCAGGGTGAACCCGAGGAGTGTCCCCTGTGGCCCCGTCGAACGGGGGTTTGTCTCGGTTTCCCTTGCTTTGGAAACGCACGTGCCCACAGCGGGCGGAGTAGGCTTGTGCCAAAGTTATTTGCCAAGACTTGCTGAATTATTGCATTTGAGTAGGCTCAACAGTATACGCGTACTAAGAGTGCTTGCAACTGCCGGATTTTCCCTTTCCTTCGCTAGAGAACTTGCCACTCTTGTTCACTGGGCACCGGATCACGGCTTTGTGTGTGTGTATGTGTGTGTGTGCGCGTGCGTCAAGCCCTGTCTCGTTGAGATTGCTTTCACTCCTAATTCCTGTCCGATCGTATGTAGATCATGTTTTAATTCTATGCGGCGCCGCTGGGGATTCAGCGACCAAAACGTGCCTACTTGTTTCATCTGCGATTCACTCTCTCTTCACAGTTTTCTATGTTTTCCAAGTAGAGCTTGCGCTGTTCTCCTGCGGTGTTTTTCTGTAAAGGGTAAGGGGCTAATGCAGTCAAGGGCTAATGCACAACATGGCGTAATTACACTGAATTATGCTCTTACGAGCCTCCTTCTAAGTGCGCGCGTCTCCCCCAGCCCATGAGCACCATGCAATCAGCACTGGCCTGTGATAGCCCAGGAATCACTTCACTACGTTGAGTGCCTGGAACACGCAAAAACCACTAGCATCGCAATGATCAGCCAATGTTAATACAGCATACAGCTATTGAACGAAGACTCGTTCTAAGTGTTCGTTGCCCAGAGGTCCAATTACACTGGACTTCTCACCGACCTGCCTGAAGATGTAGCTCCTTGTTTGATAGCACCATCCAGGGCCTCATTACACATGTATGCACTTGAAATTGTTGTCTTGTCATCACTTGCGCCTTCTTGTCCTTTGGCGTTGGCGATGAACAGTCTTCCATCTGTTAAGGTTAGAAGTCATGATCCCATGGCAAGCATATAACGTCAGGTCACCACTGAGTAGTGTGTTTTCACATGCTTCACACTATACTACAGGGCTCAAGATCAAATCATCTTAACGTCATGTGAGGGCTCCCTCGTGGATGGAGTTCCCCTTTCACTACGCTGACTCATCAAAATGTACTGGATGCATGCCCTTGGAAGAGCGCCCCAGTCATGTACTTAGTTGCCTGTGGAACAAGTGCTTTCAAGGGCGCTATTGTTTCCATAAGGTTGCGGACCACAAGTGCATTTCAATGTTTTCCGGCATTGGCGGCCTTGATTTGGGCCTGTCTGCGTTGAAATCTTAGAGGTTAAAGCAGGTGTTTGTTTGAACCACTTAGAGCATTACCTTGGACTATGTGTATTGTTGTTAGCTGAAGTGTAATCAAGGTTCTGTGAGACCTTGTGCTATGAACCGCCCTTAGACTCTGCGACATGTTACTCACACTTCAATCATCTTCTGCCAAGTTTCTGTTGGGTCTCTGTCAGCCCCGGACTTTCCATTACCTCGAAACTCGCTCCCCAACCCAAGTCTGTGTGCCTCAAGGAACTCGTTTAGGAAAGCAAGCTACTAAGCGCCGAGCCCTGGCAGCCTTGGCTAGGAAGTTGTCCTCGCTGCCTTCATGGTGGCATTGCTGTCCAGATTGAAGTTACATAGAACAATACTGCAACGTTACCCAAATGCATCAAGCTTAATCAGAAACTCACCGTCAACGCACAGAACTGCACATGCCGGCAGCACCTGAGAATCTCTTTGTTGATCCTTTTAGGCTCCAACAGCATTGTGTGCCTGGAGGACAAGGTGGAGCATGTACAACTGTACAACCACAAGCCTTCGACTAGATGCGCAAGACACGCCAGAGAAACTCAGGCGCTGCATCCCAAGGCTCAGTGACTCCAGGCCTGAGATTTGGGCCATCCAGTTTCGACAGGAAACTCACGGCGCTCGAGCAATGAGTTGCGTACGTTGTAAAATGCGAGCGGACATGAAACTAATGGAGATAGCGTCGTTGCAGCACGCAAAAATCGTTGCCGGCGCACAAAACCCTGCTAATTGCACGCGCACCCCTGTGGCATTGCTGCGCATAGGGAAACCTTATGCAGGCGAGGACGTGCACCACAAGCAAAGGCTGTTGTCGTCGCAGCAACGTTCTGTTGGGTACACGCAAGCCTGGTTGCGCAAATGCCCCGTCAGACACATGCACTTGACGACCATCGTTTGGAGGCACTATTCTGAACACAGCCCCTGGATTCGCAACATGATATAGCTGCCAAATGATAAAGCAGGCGGAGGGCCGCAATGCGCGCCATCGTCTCTTCTTGCTGCTACATGTTTCACAAATCCCCCTGCGACTGGCTTTCCTGGAGGAATTCGAACACGATAGACTGCAAAATGAAAAAGCTGCCAGATGATAAAGCAGGTGGAGCGCGACATTGTGTGCCATGGTCTGTTTCACCCATCCCCTGTCATTGGCTTTCCCACTGGACTCGGAACATGATAAAGATTCAAGGTGATAAAGCGGGTGGCGCAGTGGTTTTGTTGTGCGAGATTAGTTAAAGGCTATGGCTTCAAGCATTGAATAACAAGGTGGAAGACGGCGGGTAGCATCCAGCAGCGGGGTTGACTAAAAAGGTGTGTTGAAAAAGAAGTTAACGGGTTACAAGAACAGCGGTGGGGGGTGTCAAAAGAGGGTTAGGGAACTAAAAGGAAGAGGTTCTAAGGAATTAAATAGAAAGCTTTTCGGCAAGGATTAGAAAATGGATTGGGGCGGTTAAAGAAAAGGTCGGGCGGTTAAAGAAAGGTCGGTGGAAAAGAGGTTGGTGGTTAAAGAAAGGGTTGGTGGTTCAAAGGATGGGGTTCTAGGGAATGCTTTTGGGGATGTGTTGGGTATAGGTTAAACCAATGGCTGAGGTGTTCAACAAAGGAGAGCCCAAAACGTTGCCGGTGCACAGACGCTGCCAAGTGCACACACATGCCTGTTGCAACGGCGCACTATGAGCGAACAAGCTGTTGCGAGTGCAGAAACTGCCTGTGGCATTGTGGCGCATCCAATCATCCAACTTTGGTGGGAAGCTCTGGCAAAAGGCACGCCCCAAGTGCAAAAGTTGCTACCGTTCAGAGACCCTGCTGCGAGGTACGCGGAGCTACCTGTAACCTTGCTGCGCATGCAACACGGCGCTGCGACGAGAGATTTCTTGGTAGTGGAGACAGAAAGCACGCTACAAGTGCAGAAGCTATTACGGTTGCAGAGGTGGATTTAAGCACTGCCACCAAAATCATAGTCTCAGAAAAATATCTCCGATATTTTTGCTTGTCTGCCCTGCCCCCCCCCGAATGCCGCACACAAGGATGAGCCCAGACAGCGCCCAAACAGCTGGACAAAATCCACACCACTCAGCCCAGACAGCGCCCAAGGTTCCAAACAGCTGCCGACAAATTGCGCAGCACTCTCAGCCCAAACAGCACTCAGGGTTCCAGGACGAAATTCCGCTTTTTCACCCCGTGGACCAACTGTGCACCACTCCCAGCCCCAGAGATTGAAACCCTGCATTTTAATGTTGGGAATAATATATATATTACATTATATATACAAATATACAAAATGAGTCTTCCATAATCTTCCATACTGATTTAAAGGTTGCCACACTCAATGCATGGCTTGTATCTGATAGCCACATGGCAAAATGCATCAAAATGCAAAGGCTTCCGGAATTCTGAGGCGAGTGACAGGTGTAGTGCTGCCCTTGCAAGCAGATCTGACTTTTCGATGCAGTCAGAAAAGTCAATGCCTGTGGAAACGAAACATTGCGATTTGATGTGAACTTGGCTCAAATGTTCAGCATTCATTGGCTTGGTCAGTTTATGAAAAGATCCGAAAACTGTGGCACTGCGCTGTTGAGTGCAACCCTATTGAAATTTATTGAAATAATGATCTACAAATGGAGAACAAGGAATGTCATAATCAGTTCACAATCTTTAAGGCTTTTATGCCGGAAAGTTCAGCCTTCCAAACGGAGAAGGTCTCGAAGTTCTTTCACACCAAGTGAACAAAGCTCCTTTGAAGGAAAAGTGGGCTTTCAGTTTCGTGTAGCTAAAGATTCAGCTCCGCTACAAGACACTGCTTCCTGCCTCACTAGCTCTTGTTTCATTGTCAACCTCTGGCTAGACCTGCCTGGCTCTTGGGTTTGCCAACTGTTACCCAAACAAAGCACTCAGCGGGGAGGCATCCCAGTAGCCCTTTGTAGGGCGTCCCAAATCGTTCCAAGTGCTTTGTCCAAAGGCTTCCAGCTGCACTATTAGAAACTCTGACGCTGGCACAGATTGGAGAGATAGCTTGCAGAAATAGACGGTGTAATTCTACGTGATCCTGATTTGCACTATTTCGTACAGGCGCTAGCGCAGATTGTTTTTGACTTAAGGGTGTACAAAGTAATGTTGGACAGGGCGGCCTCCACAGCTCGGGTCGGCAAAAAAGGCTGTAGCCCTGCTTTGGGTCTCATGGCCCAGGGTCCCAACCAGGCGGCCGAAACAGTCTTTGTATATACAGTACAGTAATACAGTCAGTAGAAATCAGTAGAAGGGGTTCTACCGCCTTGACTGGCCGGACTTGGGACACTGGGACCTTACAGCAGCTCACTGTCTGCGCTCATTCTGGCTCCTACAACTTGCAGTCCTGCATCGAAGACGGCACGCACCGAGCTGGCGGATTAGGATTCTTGGCTGCATTGAAGAACGTGGAAAGCCTCAAGAAAGGAAGCGCCATTCCTCCTATTATGTGCCATTGCCATAAATGTTAACATTCGGTCTCAAAAGAGAATCCTGCTAACGTTCGTTTGCCTTCAACACTGTGTTCGTCGAAAAAGACCGAAGCATACATCGAGGCGATGGCAATACTAGCAAGTATCTAAGTATCTGCTGTAGTCTGATTAGGTATCAGAAAGGACAAGAACCTGTCCCTTGGCACCTACATAGCTGCGCAACTAAACAAGAAATCCTGTGATGAGCAGTACGACCCAAAGAATGGGCAGTCCCCTGTTGCGCTTTTCAGTGGAAGATATGTGGAAATCGCGGCCTCAATCACGAAAGCTTCCACCAAGACACTGCTGATGAGCCAAGCTGTGCCCCAGCCTTGGAATCTTGGCTATTTGGAGCTGCTGATACTTCTGGCTCCGATGACATGGCTTGGCCACAGCTTGGCCTTCATAAGTGCAAATCTACAAAGGAAACCAAGCGCGGCACGCTGCAGACTTCTGCGCCCATTCCAAAGCTTCTTGGTAGTCTACCTCAGGGAGAATGGAAAATAGCTGTTGCATGCCAGGAAGAAAATCATGACCACTCAACTATAGGCTGCAAAACTTGGAAGGTAGGTAAAGCTGGTTGAGCCAGTATAAGCAGTGGGTGTGTGTGTGTGTGGGTGTGTCAGTTTCCTGCCTTGACACCGCCACTTCCTCGAAGCAATGCCAAACCATAGTTCAGCATTCCCTCAAGAAGTGAGACTTTCGAACTTTCGACATACAAAACTTCAAAACCGCTCCAATGGAACCCGCAAACATGATGAGCAATACAACGGTTGATGTGACGATATGACACAAACTCAATTGTATATATATATATATATCATTTTTACTGTCATGAATCATGAGTATTGTAAGTTTTCTTGTGTCTTCTATGGTCCGCTCACATTTTCTTTAGACCATCAGACTTTTCTCTGTTTTTTGTTCATTTTTATCTTTCATGATCTTTCATTTTCTGCATATCCGGAATGAGATGTAAGGGAACAATCAAACCTCCACCAGTTGACAATGACCCGAAAAAACCTGGTGTCACATGACGTACATACTTGGCGCAAGGTTAAACTGTTCCAGCCTCTGCAGCACCGAGTTTTGCAGCATGACGAAACAATCTCACCTGCACGCTTGTGGGGAACGGCCATTGAAGGCTTTGCATGTTGAGCAATGTGAGGTCCCAGGTTGTGGGCATGTCATAGAAATGGGCCGATGGAGGTGTGCAAAATGTGATCTGGAAAAAATAGAGACAGTGCATAGCACGCAGGCGGTGCGGCTGAAGAATCAAGAGCAAAATCAACCGTATACAGTAAACTGGAAATTTCGGTTTGTAACCCCTGTGGTGACCAATTTCTAAGCCATCTTTGCAACAAAATCAAGAAACAAAACGAAAGGCTGCAATTGACCGAACCAGTCACTGCTTTGGCTTCATCCTTCACCACTCCCATACCTCGGGCAGTACAGCGTGTGCGTTTCAATCTCCACCTTCCATGTATCGTACATAACATCATGACATGCGTCAAAAGGAAATTTGATCCTTCCAAGCAAACCCCCTTGCTGGTACGTAGGGATGTCTGTTTGATTATGCATGATAGTGCTCAAGCCGTCCGAACTGCGAACCATTCTTGAGTTTTTTCGATTCTTTCTGCAGGAAAGACAAGCGCAAATCGAGAGGTGCACCCAACGGTGAAAAGCCGTTTTGACTCGAGGTCTGCAGAAAAAGGCTGGCAGACCTGCTCAGCAGGTTACGAACCCAAGGTCAAGGATAGAGGAGGTTGATCTCCACGCACCCCTGCGCCCGAGCTGCAACGTCGCTGCAGCGGCGCCGGCGGCGAGCTCCGGGAGAACATGCAGAAGCAGCTCCCATTGTGGATCTTCAAGACAATCCCAGAAAGGGTCAAGGAACGATTGGTGGACACGCCGGCCTCGGAGCGGGACATCCTGCGGGTGAATCGCCGCATTTGCCGGAGGTCGAAAAGGAAAGGGTGCAGACTCCCGCTCTTTTCTTGAGCAAGCCGGGCATCGCGTCCATGTCTAGCAACCAGGTGCAACATGACGATCATCCGGTAGAGGAGAACATCGCCCAGGTGACACTTCGCCTTTTCCACCCCGTCTAAGGCCAGACACACCTGAGGGTTGCTTAGAGATGGACGATGACCGCAAAGGTCAAGTCAAGTTTCTGATTTCTGAAACAACCAGCAGAACATTCTGGAGGACAGAGTAACGGCGCGTCATGAAAGGGGCTCTTGGACTTGCAGCTCGCAAAGAAGAAGAAGAAGAAGAAAAAGAAGCACTCCGGGGCGTCGCCTATATGACCATGAACAAGACCTCGGAGGAGATGATCTTTCCTACCGTCCCACTTCTGATGAAGCCGACGAACAGGACATCAAGAAGTGGCAAAAAACGATCAAGCGAAGGATACTCTCTTCGACCAGAGATGGCCACCATGACGCCTGTCGCCTTGAAAAGAGCATGCGAAGCGCTGGCTGGCACTGAGACGACAAGGATATCCCGCGCCTCGCATCCGCACTGACGTTGGTCGTGAGTTCGCGAACAACCCGTTCAAAAGCTCCATGGTGTCTACAACGGAGATTGGCCACGCTCGAGGCCATGATAGCTTCAGGAATGCTCCATGCCCTTTGCTCGGTTTGGTCAGGCGATTATATATACCGCATGCAACAAAGCGAGCGGGAACGTGGAGGACCGTTCGAGGTGACATCCGAGACTGTGGCCTACCTCACTCAAGGAAAAGGAAGGTCAGATCAGAGAGCCTTGTGGTCATAGGAGGTTCACACCCAGGAGGAGCCTGCCAAACGAGGAGGCTGAATGAAAAGACCCCGTGCATCCAAGGGGTTGAAGATCGACTGCTTGGAGGACAGCCGGGTTCTCTTCCAGACCACATAGAAGCACGTTCCTTGGCCCGTGACAGATCACATGCTGGAAGGTGAAGTTCTGAGGCACTATATAGAGACAAGGAAGTGGATTAACGCCATTATATGAAGGAGATCCAATCCTTGGACACGCTGACCCCGATCCGGGCGATCGCTCAGAGGCGGCGCAACCCTGCGCGGCAGGAGCAGGCACTGCATGGCCTTTTTGAATACTCCACTCCGAACTCTGCGAGGGAGTGGATAGAGAAGAGCGCTAGCTTTCGTGAAGAACATCAATGTGGAGATGATGAGCTCAGCTCGCCGACCAGGAGGAAAAGGAGGACGAACCTGCCAAGACGCGTGAAAGGCTATAGTTCTCACGGTGCCATGAAATGTGGTGATTTGGAAGGGTGAAATGTGGCTCAGGGAATCCCCAAAATTGTTGGGAGACAACAGGGACATCGAGATCAGTCAGGTGTCCTTCCAGGTCAACGACATCAAGTATGAATTCCAGCAGAGCTTTGCAGAAGAGAACCTGTGGCTGGTGAGGCGCACTGTGGATGATGTCACGCTCTTCGGCGACAGGGATAGTGAGTCAAGGGGGCTTCAAACTTTTCGTCGGACTTGGAAGACATCGGAGCCGACATGGGTAGGCCCAGGAGAACCGATCCAATACTGTGGCCTAGAGTCTAGAGATCAGTGCAGCTACATCAAGGAAGTCTTGCAGAGACACTCCATGGAAGATGTGGCTAGCACTCAAGTCATGAAAGATGGCCAAGAACCAGAAGAAGAGCTTGACAAAACTCAGGAACAGATCAAAGAGGCACAACAGCTCGCAACGGAACTTCTGTGGCTGGCCACCAAAACACGTCCAGACCTTGGATACGGCATACGCGATCCGTCAAAGCTGTTCCGCAACCAGCAGGGCACCCAAGTGGGCGAAGGGGGCCGCATATCAAGTGATGAAGCATGTCAATGGCACTCACGGTCTGGGACTTTGGCACCGACATGATGCCAACCTGAGCTCGGAGTCGAGGGTGGCTGTGGCGGAGACCTCAGATGATCAGGGAAGCGCTTCATCATCGTCATCAAGGCCACTGTTGACTACCACGAGGGTGGCTAGTGCAGCAGGAGGGCACCGTGAAGATGTGGCTGAGCCGCAGGAGCAACCTCCAACACCTCAGCGGTACAGCCAGTGGCCCAAAGCAGAGGCCGTTGACGAGCACCTCGACCCTACATGGTGTCTCAGGCCTGGTTCGCACCATCGGGCACGTGCTTCCGCAAGAGGCGAGATTTCCGAGGACTTTGGAATGCAGGACATGTGCAGGCCATTGGGATCTGCCAAGCTTGTCAGAGATCCACTCAGGGCCAGAGGCCATACAACCTCACAACATGGTTGTATCAAGGCGAGGTGAACCGTCTTCATACAGATCCCCGCTGTGGTGGATGGTGGGGGCGATGTTGGAAATCAGGGCTTGCAAGCTCTGTGGAGGAGGCGAAGCGGCTTGAGCTTGGCGCGGCTCTTTTCCAGAAACAGCCTAAAAGAGGCCCGCACAAATCGAGAAGCGTGCACCAGGTCAAACCCAACGGTGAAAAGCCGTTTTGACTCGAGGTCTGCAGAAAAAGGTGGCAGACCCGCTCAGCACTTTCAACATGTGGTCGAAATGTTCAAGCTGGTTTACAAATGTGTCCTTCTTGAAGAGACACTCTCTTTGCAAACATCATTTCTTGGACACCGTGCTGTTGACAATTTCACTACTGATGATCCCTAACAATATCAAGAAGTTGCTTGTCAGTCGAGCATGAGAGCTTCCGATACTTGGTCGGATCCACAAAATCAGTCTTGCATTGAAGTTTCATTGAAGGATCTAGCCTCAAACTGTCTTCTCTTGTTCCTGTTCTGCATGATCTAACGATGACTGATCTTTGACTGAAACTCATGACCAAGGGGTGGACAAGCAGGGCAAAAAAAAACGGAGGCAGTACCAAGCAAATGTTCCTCCTGGTCTCAGAGTTCTTTCAGGACACCATGAATTTGAAAGAGTTCTACCGGCATATTGTGCCTTGGGTATTTATTGAATGAATGCCACACAGGGACAAGGCATACAAGACGCATACAAGTTTTCTTGCTGCACTAGGAACCAAATCGATCATGCGAAAAGGAAGCTCGCCCCACCTAGAGAAAAACTTCCCCGATCCCGAGCCCTCTGCATCCAAGCCTAGTGGCTTCCTGGCGCTTACTAAAACATAATACCAAAACTACCTCCTGCCTACATCTGCCTACCCTACCTCTCCTTAACCCCCCACCCCCCCAAAAAAAAGAACTCTTGTAACTTGTAACTTCATGATGTTGCGTTTCTCAGTGGGAGCCGTGCAATGAGACCGTCTGAACGGTGAGCTTAAGCTGCCGGCCATTGATGAGCAAATGGCCGAGGTTGCTCAATGCCTCACAAAACTCTTTTAACACACTGTGAACATGCTCAAGCGTTTCGGAGTAGATTGCTTTCCTTCTTGCGGGGAATGTTTACGTCCGGCGTCTAGATTACTTTAATGTGCCGTGACTTGACATACTTGAACCATCTCGAGCCCATTCTCAGGTACAGTACCAAAGGAATCCCCATCACAAGTGCCTGTGCATCTCCTTGATGAGCCGCCCACTTCGTGTAGCGCACTGATTGCCGAAGGTCCTCGCAGGTGGCATGAGATGCTACGGCTGATGAACAAAATCCTGCACCTTCACCACGAGAAGAACACTTCCATGTGCCATGTACCCTCGTGCTCCCTCTGTAAGACTGCTTTGAGAAAAATGAATCAAACCGAAAAAGGTTGAATGACTGGCCAAATTCCTGCATCACACATCGCAAATGCAAAACAACATTGGGGTTGCGAGGGTGTATTTTAGTGGTGGACTCCTTCCATCGACACTGTGACAGGTTGTGACCAGTTTACTCAATTGGCTCTGCTCGAGTACACTATGGCTGGTTCGACTCTCCTTGTATGCTGTTCCCATGTTTCTGCGAGCCTTGGGGAACTGGAATTGGCCCTCCCGGTACAACTCAGCCACCTGAATGCGCAGTGACCACCCCATCAAACCAGCCAAAATGACAATCAAATCAAAACGGGATGGCTCAGGATGACCATACATCGAAATAAAGAAGACCCAACGATCCACCAGGAAAAGAAAGACACTGCTCAGGACACCCACTGGTTTTGCTTGAATCTTGCCATACTAGTAACAATAAGCTAGTAGTAACAAGTGCATCGCTTCTAGTAACAAGTGCCTTACTAGTAGTAACAAGAAGCTAGTACTTGAATCTTGCCTAGTAACTACAGACTGACCATACTTTCAGCCCTGCGCTTCTGGCTGCCTGGAAGCAAGCCCTGGGATGACCCTTGGCGCAGGCTGCCAAGAGCTTGGTCACCTGTAGTCTCAAACCACATCTAAATCATCTAATCACTGTGACACATTCAATTTCTTCTAAACGTCATGATCAAGCTCCATCCATCAATATAGGGGGCAAACGCCATCACGGTCTCCATCTTGCAGCAAGGCTTGGCCCAAGTGAAACCTTGACTGTCTTCAACAGCTTAACGAAACTCCTCTGCAGCGTCCCTGCTGGTCCTGTTCTTTCGGAACAACAAATACCATAAGTACCATCAAGTACCTGTAGCTTCTTGGCTTGATACGCGGCATCAGGATCGTCTTGCTCAAAAGCAAGTCGAAGCAACCGTTTGCCTTCCCAAATATCCTGGATGATCAAAGTTTTTCAAAAGAACAGAATCACCTGTTCACACACCAAAGGTCATGAAACTTTGAAGGTTCTGTTGAATGGCAAACTGCTTCATGGTCCTGCTGCAAGCGGCCTGGCACGCCCTGCATCAGCAAGCTGCCCAAGCGACTCCTTGACCTGTATTGCAATTCGTGACCGGGGTCAAAGGTGCTCTGCCGATTGTTTCCTAAAAGGTTATATAAGTGTCCCTAAAAAACTAGGAACCAGATCATTAGTGCGAGCGCTTCTTCAGGAAGCTCCCCCACCCCCGGGCGCGGAGAGCTTCCTGAAGCGTGAGCTATCCTGCGTCCAATTACTAGAAGCTTCACTAGTGCTAGGAGCGTGTTTACTCCCTTGCTTAATTGAGTAGGCGCCTACTTAATTAAGGTGGCAGGGGCCACTCGGGCCAAATTATACCAGCATAGACACCAAGCAACTTAAGGCAAGAATCATTGTCGTCGTGGGCGGCCGCAGCCCCAGCCCCTCCAAGGCAAGCAACGTAAACAGCATGACAGCAGCAGGACAACAGAAACACCAGAGGAGGACATAAGGAGGACAACAGAGGACAAAAGGATGAGGGTAGGAAAACAACACGAACACCACACACACCAAAAAAAGGAGAAAAAGTGACCGGACAACGCAAGGACAACAGAACAACATGAGGGGAGCACGCCAAGAGGAGAACAAGAGGAAGAGAGAACAAGAGAAAAACAAGACGATGATGGGAGGAGCACGACCGCGGTACTGCGGTCTTCGCGCCTGCCGGCTGGCGCTTTCCCACTACGTGTGCACTTGCTTTCTCGCATTGGACCCTTTGATTGTGTTTGGTGGTGGTGTCATGTCTTCATGCAGCCATGCTGCCATCTGGACACCGGCAGAAGGACAACAAAGGGGCAACAGGACGAAAAAACAGAGAACAACAAGACAAGGTCTGGACTGGCTGGCAGCCGCAGCCAAGCTGGTGTCAGCAAGAGGACAAGAGGACAAGAAGAGCTCAAGAATGCCGCGGCCAAGCTGCCAGAAGAAGGACAAGAAGAGGACAACAGGCACACGAGAGGAGGACAACGTCTAGACACTGCGATCAACAGTGCCAGGAAGACTAGAGGAGGACGAAGAGGACAAGAGAGGACACAGGGTTGGCCAGCGCGGCCAGAGGACAACAGCAGGACAATTGCAAGCACCAAGAGGACAAGAGAGGACACAGGGTTGGCCAGCGTGGCCAAAGCACAACAGCAGCAGGACAATAGGAGGACACTGTCACAGGTTGGCCAGCGCGGAGGACAAGAATAGCACAAGAGGAGGACGGAGGGTTGCACAGGGTTGGCCAGCGCGGCCAGAGGACAACTGCAAGCACCAGGAGGAGAAGAGGAGGACAAGACCCGGACGCAGCGTTCCTGGCCAGCTCTTTTTTCTCCTGCAAGTATATGAGAGAGAGAGAGAGAGAGAGAGCGAGCGCCTGCTTGTTCTCCCTTCAAGCTGCACGATCGCAGGCCTGACCACAGTGAGACGCTAACCGGAAAACTACGAACGAAGTGCGCGAACGAAAAGGGCAGAGGGACCTAACGTGTACGAACAACTCATTCGGGAAAGCACCACGAAGCGGGAAGCAGTGCAGAAAAGTCTGGAAGAAGGAAACCACAGCATGCTCAAAAACAGTCAAAAACTGCGGATCCTTTTGCCAAGCTTAAATGGCGGCCTTCATGTAACACCTTTGGTGTACAACATGTATGTGCATGGGTGAGTGCTTATTCATTTCATTCGCACTCCTCCTTCGGTCATTGAGCTTCGGCTCCTTGACCGACTTACTTCATGAAGTTAAAGCACTCTTCCATTTTAGGATAGAGTTTCCGTTCCATGGCCCAATCCTCCTTTCGGGAGTAGTGGAACCAACTCGCCTCTATCCTCGTCAGCTCATTACGAGCCTTGAGTTCTGTACGTGTGCCAACTTCGTTCAGGAACTTGTAGTCTTGCTCCGGGAGCTCGATTGGCTCTGGATTCCACTCAACTCCTTCTGGCTGAGTTCCAGCTTCACTCATGTTTTCATCATCAGCATCTTCAGCCTCTGACATTGGGATCGGCTCCGGTTCAGTTGTTTCCTGTTGTGGCTCCAGGTACTCAACCGGAATCTCCACCCTTCTTCCATCTTCCAGCTCAACTGTTGCTGTATCCCCTGACAGCAACGGCTGCTCTGCTCCTGCCCTGTCATCCGCACCATCATCTGATGACATGGGCTCATCTTCTCCTCTTGTCGCTGCCGTTGGTCGCTGAGGTAGTCCATCTGCACCGCGCTCTTCCTTCGCTTGCACTACCAATGCCCATTGCCTCTTCATCCTCAGGCCATCGTGCCTTCTGTTGACCTTCTCCATGAACTTTAACTTGCTCCACTCTTCAGGCTTCACTGATTCATCTTGCACGAAGCCGTCCACATAGACCAAGCCTTGGTGAATCCTCTGGGCATAGTCTGCCTGCATACTCCATGTAAGCTCCAGCTCATTGAAGCTATTGGAGAAGTCCGCTCTCTGAACATCTAGTTCATCTTGTAGCCTCCTCATTGCCCATTCCAAGTGCTTGATCTTCTTCCACATCCATGCGAATCCAGCTGCTACGAGGGCCACTGCAATGAAGACTAGCATGATCCTCCACCCCATATAGGGAACTTCTTCTTCAATCACTTGCTCATCTCTCGACCCTGCAGCCAGCTCAAGACCGCCAACAATCAACAATCTGTTGAGGAATTTTGCCATCTTCATGATGCGGCCTTTCTCGAAGTGCTGCTCCTTGAAGTTCTCATGCTGGCTCTCTCCAATGCGATGCCCATCTCCTGCTCTTGCATTGCACCAATACAGCAATAGGTCTAGCCTTGCTCGAGATAGGGGTTTTGTGCCGATGTCAGCCACGTTCAAAGCTGTATTGACTTGTTTCACTGACATGCTGCCATCAGCAACTTTATCCTGGCACCATAGGAGTTTTCCAGATAGGTGACGTAGCTTTCCACTTCCTCTTTTGCAGGCGATCTGTCGGGTTGCTGAGTTGTCCACCCAACAAATGTGCTCCACTTCCTCCTGGGTGAGGAACTCCAGGCTGTGCTTCAGGCAAATCCCATCGCAAGCTGCTGCAACCAATGCGTTCAGCTCACTCTCTGCAGAGCTCAGACTTATTGTCTTCTGCCCTCGAGAACTGCTGTACACTATCAGCCCATTGACTGCGTGCACCGCTGATGAGGTAGATCTCCTTGTGGACTTGCATCCGGACCAGTCTGCATCACTGAAGGTCTCCAACAGCCATCCTTTCTCTCCTCTGGTGTTGATGCCTTCTCCTCTGACTGGATTTGGAAGCAGAATGTGTTGATGTTCTGTTTCCTTCAAATAGCCCACCAGCTTGCGCATCCTCTGCACTGCCACCTCTGTGGGACTCGACATTTTGCTTGCAAGCTCCTTGATGGTGTAGGCTATGTCCAGTCGTTCCTGAGCTAGATAGATCCCCATTCCGGTGATGGACCTAAAAGCTGTTGCTTCTTGGTATCCTACCAAACTTGAACTGTCTGCGTCCTGGATGTCTGACGACGCTGGGATCCTCTGTCTCTTTGCTTGTCCAAAGGTCTCCTCAAACAGCGCAATCATCTTGCCGGCGTATTGTCCTGGTTTCACCAGCAAACCTTCTGGGCTTAGCTTGTAGGTTCGCTTGAGGAACGAGAACTCTTGGCCGTTCTCCTCCACTCTTGATACCTCAACTTCAAACTTCGCTTTGAGCCTGTCCACAAACCTCTCCACTGCCTTATTGCGTCCAGTGAACATGATATCATCAACATGTATCAATACATGGACTCTGTCTCCTCCTTCTCCGCATCTTCCGAGGCAGGGATTGATCACATCAAAAGTAAATCCATGATCTTCGATGAGGTGCTTTTGTACATGCTCAAACCAAGCCTTTGCACCTACCCTCTGACCTGGCAAGTTTCGTAGCACCTTGTACTTGCCTATGCTCGTGGAAATTTGCAGCGGTCTTTCTTGGGGAACCTGCAGAAAGGCATCTTTCACATCCAATGCGCCCAGCACTGCTCCTCCACTGCTGCTATCCATCTCCTGATCCCTTTCTCTCATAGTGAGGAAAATCATTGGGAGCAGCCTCAGTGAATAGCTTCCACTCGCAGGGCTGTAAACATCATCTCTCTTGTCATTCGCAAACTCTCTCGCCACTAGGCGAGACCTTCTCAGCCATCTCTTCACCTTTGTTCCATCTTCCCTCACACAGGTCTTGATACGCCAATCTCTGACAAACTTCGTAGTAAGCTTGTCCAGCATCATATCTGCCGTCTCTAGATCGGCAATCACCCCCATTCTTTTCAGCCTTTGCTCCTCCACCTTGTCTGCCAGCTGCTCGATGGTAGGTGAAGGTTGAGGTGGTGTCCTGTTGAGGGGTTCATCACTCCACAGGGCATCAGGAATCGCTCCTGGTTTCAGGTCCTCAACATCCTCTTGCTCACCATCCGCTTCCAGGGCTTCCACATCTATCACTTCATCTAGGTGATACATAGTCTCCCCTTCGAGGCTCACTGCTTCAACTCTTCGTTCCACCATCTCCTTCCTTGCCGTGCTGGATGATGATGTGGCTCCCTCTTCCTCAATTCTTTGTTTCTTGAAGCTTTCCATTCGAGGCTTCTTTGCTTCAGGCTCACTCTTGGCCGCCGATGGTGGCGGTGGTGTTTTCCTCAGGAATCTCTCCTCCTGAGGACCCTTGTCTTCTTCCCACGGCATGGGGGGAACTTCCATCGGAATAAATCCTTCTGAGCCCTCTCCTCCAGGGTGCGTCATCGCAAGAACTGGAGTTGTCGGCAATCCTAGGCTTTGCTCATCAACTTGTGGGGCTCTTGGGGCTGGTACCCCACCTTCAGCAACCAAGGTACCCGAAACTGCCTCCTCCGTTGCTCCAAGCATCATCTGGACCTCCTGGATCTCTTTCTCTGCCTCTTCTTGACCTTCTTTGGATCTTGCATAATCCTCAACTGCCTTAGCCTCCTCGTCAAACTCCTGGTAGAGAGTTGGGTCCGCTGGCAGGCTCTTCCTCCTCATATTCAAGGGAATGGGTCCCACCGCACGTTTCGACGGCACAATTCGCCCGCCGAAGTTGACTTGGAATTCCCAGCTGTGTGCAGTGAAATCCCTGAAGTATGTCATGAACTTGGACCAGGGCCTGTCAATGCGTCTTACCGATCTGGTCAGCAGCACATTCTGCCCTTCTCCCACAGCCCATGCATCTTGGCCTTCAGTCTTTCCCAGAAAGATGGCCATTCTCCACCTCGGATTGCCTTTGCCAGTGAGAGGCTTCAAGTATGCATACACTGGGCACCCGAATGGAACCAGCGGCGACTCATATGACCTTCCTTGTGTCAGTTCGAAGCTTGTGACTCCTCGACTGGCCTGGTATCTATTCAGGGTCCATGCTGCATGACGCGCCGCCCAACTCCATAGGGCGTGGTTGCTGTTGAATCGTAGTCCAACCTTCTTCATCAATGACTCCATCAATGTACCAGCCAATCCTCTGATCCTCTGGATTGCGTTCTCTGCCAATGAGTTGCCTGCTGAATCCTTCACGCGGGTTGTATAGATCCTCGTCCAGAGTCCGAGTGCATGGCGGGAGTTCAACAGAATGCGCAAAAGGGCCCTCATTGTTGGCTCGTTGTCTGCATACAAGCCCACTTCTGTATGGCCCAAATTCTGAATAAAGGTCATCGTCTCCCTGCACATCAGGCTCAGCTGGCCCTTCGATTGCAGCGGGACTGCTGCCAGTGATCCTGTCTGGCTGCAAGACAATACCAGCCAGAGGGCATTCTTCACCTCCTTAAATCTCATCTCTGTTCCTCCAGGTAGGTCTTGATTCCGTGGCGCTTCCTCCTCTTGCTGCAGGTCTACTACCTCTCTCCCATCTTCCTCCATAGCCATTGGTGCTGGACGGTCCATCTCTCCTGCCTTTGTATAGCAGAAATCCATACTGACAATCGGTATGCCAGATAGCCTTGCTGCTCCAGTGCGGAGGTGTCTGTCTGGCCGTCCTCGATGCATCAAGCACGTCTCACACCAAGGCTGATATGGAGTGTGGGTCAGCTCATGCAGAGCTTGCTCTTCATCCGAGGGCACTCTCACTAAGGGTTGTGCTCTCGGCCTCCTTGCAACCTCCATTTCAGCAGCTGCCACTGCTGCTGATGCCGCCTTTATCTCAAGCTCCTTGATGTAGCTCACCAACCTCTGGTAGCATTTGAGCTTGCTGCCGGAAGTGCTTATGCCGTAGAAACCACATGCCGCTCGAAGTTCACGCAGCTTTGATTCCTGGGTCAGCTCTATCCCATTGACCATGAGACTCCCAGGCATTGCTCCTCCTGCGACCAATCTTCCTTCTTGCTCAATGCTCTCCTCTCTCACAGGCTCGTCATGAGCCTCCTCGACTCCTCTGCCTTCCTCTATGGGCAGCTCCTCATCTCTCCTCTCCACTGGCTGAACAGCCAGCTCCATTCCGGTGTCAACCTCAAATCCTAGCTCCTCTGTCGTGCAGCTTTCTCTCGTCAAGATGGTCATCGTCAGGACATTCTCACCCTTTGCCTCCTCGATTATCTCTTCCTGCTCTGTGAGTCCATGTAGCGCCTCACACAGCTCCACCATCTGCCAACGGCCTTGCTGTTTGATCAGGGTCGTCCTGCGCCAACTCACCCTTGAGTTGATCTCCCCATGATATTGGGGCGTTTGCAATCTCTTTCCCAGGTGAATCCCAATCCACCTGTCTCCGGCTCTGACCCATCCACTCTGCATTCTTGCCTTGTCCTCTAGCTCCTTCGTCAACTTTGTCTCGAGCACCCTGACTGTGTACGGTACGGTTTGAATAGCCCGTACGTAGCCCTCTGCAATGAGGCTCCTGTTCTGCAGTTTCAAGGGGATCCTGATCTGGTGAGAACCTCCTCCATATGTCAAGACTCGATCCTCTCCATCAATTCCCCAACCTGCTTGCACCATCTTCCCAAAAGAGATGATCGGCTGATTGATGCCCTCTGCAAAGTGGGCCTTCTCATGAATCTCAACCTCCGTCCCTTGCTCCGTCCTGAAGCAAAAGCATACATTCTTGTATCCCTTCACCTGGATATGCTCTCCTTGAGCATCCTGGAGACGAGGGGCTGATTCTGAAAGCTCAGCTCCAACTCCAAGGAATGAGGCAGGTAGGACCGTGGCATCAGCTCCAGAGTCCACAATGACCTGGCATAGATCTTGGCCATCTCCAAAGTAATCCTCAGTCTCCGTCTGGACCACACAAATGCCCAGCGGAATTTCTTGCTCCTCATCTCCAGCCGTCTCGTCCACGTCCATGTCGTAGAACTTGACCATCCTGATGTGCTCCTCCTCTTCGCTGATGGACCTGAGATCAAACACCATCAACTCATTGAATTCCTGTGAAACTTGTTGTGAGACTTCTTTGATCCTCTTGATGGATGGGGTCTTTGTCGTCGTGGTCGGTGAGGTGTATGTGCCTCACCTTGGGATGCGCTCGGACTTGCTTCGACCTGTCTCACCACCCTCCAGCAATCCTTTGCTATGTGGCCGGGCTTCCCACATGTGAAGCAAGTCTTTATTGGGCTCTCCTTTGTCTTCCCCTTTCCATCTGACTTCTGACCCTTTTGGCCTGCCTTTCCTCCTTCTTGACCTTTACCTGGTGCCTTGCCCTTGCCTTTGGTGCCCTTCTGATCACCCTTTCCCTTTCCTTTGCCCAGTCCTCCATCCTTTCCCTTTGACTTGCCTTTGCCTTTGCCCTTCTCGGCGATGCGGTCGATCTCCATGGGAGCTGGTCCTCCCGTGTCCTGGTTGAGGATCATTGCATTGGACCATTTTGTGGTAGCGTGGTCATACTGGACGATCGCCTCCCTCAATCTGCTGTAGCTCTGCGTTTCTGCCACCTGTAATTGAAGCCATGTCTTCAATTGGCCTCCAACACACCTCATCAAGGTGGCAAATTTGATCGTCTCATCAAGGCGAGCTCCAGTCTTTTCGTACTCGGCATAGGCCTCTTCCAATTTGAGGAGCTGATTCAAAATGCTTCCTTTCCTCATGTCAAACTGCCCCCACTCCAAAATCATCGTCAACAGTCCAAGGGACCTGTTCTTGCTCGTCGGTTCCAGGCTCTGGATTAGAACTCTGTAGGCCTCCAGGCCATTTGAGTCCTTCACCTGCTTGATCAAAGAGAGGGGTCGATGACGTAGGAGAGAGGCCAGCAAGGCATATAGGAAGCTACCTCGCTTGCGCTCTTCATCACTCTGCAGCTCCGTGGTGATCTCTCTGTCCACGTTTGACCTGAGCTCCTTGATGTCCTCAATGTAGTCTGCGTCCATTGAGGACAAATATTGCTCCAGGCTCCACGAGAAATCTCTCCACTGTGTGATTTCTTCCTCCCTCGATTTCGGCTCGAAAGAGGGAGGTCGTGGAAGGATGCGAAGCCAGTTTCTTTCCTCCGGCCTCTTTGACACTGCATCTGCTGCAGCCTTGGCAGCTGCACCGGCTGCCTCAACCGCTTGCACCATCCTCCGGGCGATCTCGGCCCCATCAACCAAACCTCCTGCTCCACTACCAGTGGGAGATCCTGGTAGTTGAGATGTCTCCAAACCGGCCATCACCGCTCGATCTCACCCTCCTTATCTTCAAAAGCGGTGACCTTCAGGTGGCTGTAGGGATTACGGGCAAAGAAGGAAAAACTTGTACTTCTCGGTGAACTCTTGCGCTGATTGCGAGCTGTTGGATCTCCGCCCAACACTAGCCAGGCACCTATGGCTTCCGCACGTGTGCGCGGCCGGGCCACCAACCAGGGGATTGGGTCACGTCCCCAAAGGATCCTGGAGCCTCAAGCAAGAGCCAAGCAATTGCTATCCTCGGCTCCGCTACCATGCGGATCCTTTTGCCAAGCTTAAATGGCGGCCTTCATGTAACACCTTTGGTGTACAACATGTATGTGCATGGGTGAGTGCTTATTCATTTCATTCGCAAAAACACACCTGGCCCCATGCCAGAAGCAAGAAAGCAAGCACCAAGACCCCACACGAAATCTCGTGTTAGCAATCATACGAATCTGAGCGAAAATAGGGGCAGGTTTGGCCAACTCATTGCCTTTAACATTCCTAACGGTCCAAACGTAATATGCCCATCTGGCAACACTCAAGCCGATATCAAGACCTGAAAACTTACGAAAGTGGAAAACAAGCTCAAGCCACGAAATGTCACAAAGCCGAGGAGACTTAACATCTCTATTCCATTTCAAGCTACGAATCCACTGCCAAAGCTTTTCCAGGTATATAGATGGGATCTACCGAGCCAACATCCGCCAACTGTCAACTTGAACTGACGTGCCAAAAGTGGGAAAGCTGACAATGCCGCTTGGTACTAAGGGTTCTAAGACGTACTAAGAGATGTATTAACTTGGCTGCTTCATGTTCCATGTTTGGTGGTAGACGTATCTACCAACCCAAATGACTTGGATCCAGTGCAAGAACTTGGACAAATCGTAAAATAACCAAGTGCTGCGTGATGTTCAGCTTCACCTCTCTCCAAGCGTTCTGCTCTGAGTTTGCAGTCGGGGCTTGTTGATGTCTTAATTCCTCGTCACCTATAGAGGTCAGACTCCCGCGTCACGGTTCTCAGCAGCCCACCGGCAATGCCCCAGCTCGGCGGCACGACGCCACAGCTCCACAGACGCAGAGGAATTCTGACTCTCCTGCCAGAGGTTCAAAGTGGAAGAAGTAGGTGCGTCAATAGCGAGTATAAGTAGTGATTTATTAAGCAAAGTAGGTGGGCAGTGTCAAACGATCCGACAACATGGCACGAAGATGCAAGCTGATTGTTTGAAAGCAATCCCACAAGCACCACGTAGGACCCGAGCAATGCTAGCATGTCAATATATAATTGCGTGTGGACCGGGACGAAACAATTTGTCAGGAACTGCCTTGAGATTTACTACTTTAATCTATACTGCGTTAATCCACTCTACCAGTATATCTATTCCTGAACATGCTCAGAGTCAACGATGAAAGGTAGATTGAAGTCTTGCTAGGGCTTGACTATCTGGACGCTACTCAGCTTGGCTTCTCAACTCTCTCCTCAAGTCCAAATGGAGAATCCCAAAACCATTCAGCAGCAGTGTAAAGCGCTTCAACATGATCCTGCTCACACGCCTGTGCTGCGATTAGACGCGAGGAACTAGACAAGGATACCACAACGACAGCCTTACCTATTCCATGGATCCTCAGATCCTCCGGAGAAGGGCTTCCAGAAAGGTCGGAGGCCATCACTATTAAGTTGGAGGCCATTGCTTCTAGGGTGGAGGCCATTGCTCTTAGGTTCCTTTCCATGGATCCTCAGATCCTCCAGACAAGGGCTTCCGGAAAGGATTGAATCAGATTGCATGATTTCTCTGATACTACAGTGCAGCCCGTGATAAGCCGCAACGTAACTGTCTCACTCCGTCCAAGAAGTGGCCAACCTTCTCCACAAATTCTTTGGCTGCTGGAAAGTCCTTCTTCACCAAAGACAGCGCATGACCGAAGAGCCCGTCAGGATCCCCAACTTCCACCATCTTCCTCACGCAGACCCGAATGTACTAGTGGACCACTCAGCTAGGTTCAATTATATAGATCAATGTTTTTGTGCAAGTACAGAGGAAAAAGGCCGTAGGGAATGCCAAGGGCCAAGAGTAAGACGGATCCCGGATACCAATGGTGTTTGAATATGTTTGAACATTGGGTGGATCGGAAGCTCAGGAAATTCATTGAACCTGGTAGGCAAACATTGCTGTGTCAGTTGAGATAAAAGGGCCCTTGTCGCAACCTGAACCTCAAAGGATCTGAAAGGTATGGTGCGGCGACTCCGTTGCAAAGAGGTTGGTTTGTCAGTCTGTCAATAGCTTGCAAGGACAAAGGAACAAACCATCACTCTCAAAGAAGGATCGGCCAGTCACTACAAACCAACAATATTAGCAAAGACCGAGGGTGGCAGCTTGTATTGTTTCCTGTGAAATTGCAAGCAAGGAACGAATACCACGGGCAGGATCCATCTGCAACTGCTTGCGGAGAATCCTTGAAGTGCAATACCAGCTCCAGATGAGATCCCTCTTGCACATCAACACCGTGGCACAGATCATATTGAAAAATACATAGATCTCCACGACCGAGCTGCAGGAATTTCCGGTCCACAAAAGCTTTGCCAGAACCTTGCAAAAAAAAAACCACCTGCAGGCGGGGCCAAGATCAATGCTGGATTCAATGAACACGAGCTTTAACTTGACGTATCAACTATTAGATAGGTGATAGGGTCTTTATGGGTAGACAACTACGGGATGCTCATGATGAGCCCACCTGTGTAAGATGCTGACTCCTGCAAAGCAATCGTCATCACCGCAAACGAATCATACTCTTGGTGTGGAGGAATAAAGCGGCGTTCCTTCAACAAGAGTGCACAATCAAGGTTCGATCCTTCAGCCGTTTTCAACACTTTTGGGACTTTCTGCTCCGCTCCTCTGGAACAAAACGTCTGAAACATGCTGATGAAAGCGCCGCTGTCTGGCCATATTTCTGCCGCACCAGTGGAAGCAACACCGTTTCCACAAGGGGCCGTAGAGCTGAACCTTTTCCGTCCAGAACTCCAAGTTCGGCCACTTCCACAGCAAAACCTTGGAGTTTTGTTCTGCCTGAAAGCAAGCCCCTGAATTGGCGCATTTGGTTGCTTGCCAGAATATTATGCCACCACCAAGAAAGTTTGTAAGGTTTAAAACATCAAACCAATATGAAATGTGTATATAAAAATGGTAGCCCTTTGAATCTGCCCCCTACCACTAACTACAACCACAATCTTAAGCACGAGAATGTGCACGACAACTTTTGGTGCCAAAAGGAACTGGGAAGATGGCTGCGCTTTTCATGAAACCCCTTGGCAAACACCCAATGATTTGTTCACCTCTATTTTCAGTCTGGTCTGTAAAAATCGTTTTAGTTTTGGGGGGCCTTGGCTGGATGGTTGCCTTTGGAATGCTATTGGCGGGCCTGCCTAGCCGGGGGGGTGGGTGGGCGCCTTTGAATTAAATTGGGCGGTCTTGCCTTTAAAGTCCTCTTCGCACGAGGCTTGGGAGAGGGGAGGGGGAAGGGGAGGGAAGGGTGGTTTGTTTGAAAGCTTAATCCTAGGTGGGCCCCTGCCCACAAAAGGAAAGGACAGGGAAGGAAAGGCAAGGGATGGGATGGGAAGGGCAAGGGAAACGAAAAGGAAAGAAAAGAACAAACAACAGGAAACAAATACTCGCAGGTTGTGCGATTTCTTGCGCTAATTCTGACCCACGGTTGTGCGATTTCTGACCCGAGGTTGTGCGTTTTCTTGTGCTCGTTCTGACTTAAATATAGCGCCTTTGAGAGTTTTCTTGCGCAAGCGCTCACCAAGGCCACAAACGGTAGTCTGGACAGCCTTGCTTGGCGCAGAAGCCGAAGGCCGCAGTTTCTGGAAGAATGAAAGAGCAGCAAAGTGAACCTGAAAAAAATGTCCTTGCAAAGCAAAAACATCATTCTGGCCACAGAGAAAAGGCCAAGGAATGACCATTCTTCGTCATTGTTAGTATATTTACTTTGGAGTGCTTTAGGGCCGACCGAGTTGCCATTTATGTATAATATATAATACAATAAAAAACTAGAAATGCAATAATACTATAACATACTATAATATATATATATATGTGTGTGTAGGGTGCGTGGTACAGTGGTACCCCACATATGCCTATGTTTGGTCTATGTTTCTGGCATGTAGAGTGCTTGACAGGTTTTGGGAGTACGAGTGAATCCTAGCACTTGAGGCAACTTGGACAATCCAAAAAAAGCAATGTTTCCTTCGTGTGAAGGCTGCAGAATAACTGCTCCAAGTACAACTGCTACAAGTTGGTCTTGGCTAAGCGGTTCACATACGTGTATGTCTGTCTGTACTCTTTCTTTGCGCGACCTTTTGTGGCAAAGCGTGCTATCGAGGGAACCAGAGGCGCAGGTCCTTAGACTTGCCCGCCTCACAACGCTTTCTGAGCTTCGGGGTGAGCTCCACGCGATCATCTTGAATCCTCGCCTTTGCATGGCATCTTGTGCGCTCAGCTCCGCTTCCTATCCTGGCCTTGACGTGGGCGACATGCCCATTCCAGAGCCGCCCAGAATCCAGCGGTCGCCCACGAAGTGGCTGAAGGCTTCCATTTGTTGGAGTGAGCCAGGATGTAAGCCTTGCCCTCCGTGCATTTCGATCGTGAACTCCCGGCTGACCCCTTCTTGTGCCTGGATGAGGTCATGGATTCATGGATGATCACATTGCGCGCAGTGCTTTGGGCGCACTTTGCAGTGAGCACACTGGACTCCACTTCGAAAGGGCTGCAGCTGTGGCCTTGATGAGTTGGCGCAGTCCACAGGCGATACAAACAGGAGGTGAAAGCTATGGGTGAGCACGACAATGTTGGTGAACCGGAGTTGTGCCCGTAGGAGACCGGAGAGCAGTTTTCTCCATCTCAGTGAGGAGCTGTGCCAGGCGATCGGCCGCTGGGTATGGCACATGGCGGAGCATGTCACAGGAGATGCCATCAGGTCCAGCAGCCTTGTTGGGTAGCCTGCGCGTGAGCTTTTGCAGGATGGAGGAATCAATGGCCTGGAGACTAGCTGCCTGCAGCATGGAGCTGGCCGACCCATTGACCTGACAAGGTTGGGTGAGTGGTAGGCGGATCTCTGCCCACTGCTCTTCGCGAGCCGGAAGCCGTTCAGTGGCTGGAAGATCTTGGAAGGGTCTGCCAAGGTTTGTCTTTCTGCCTCAGGCCGCGGAACTCGTGGAGCTGAGAAGGCACTTGTGAGCAGACGGCTCCTCTTCCAATGATGCGCCTTGGGATCTTGCTTTGGCTCCTCAATCCATTGATGCAAAAGGTCTTGAAAGAGGTCAAGTTGCATATCATCAGAGGCACGCTGATAAAGTTTGAGATCTCGAAGAACTCCTCGGTGATGGGAGTGGTGCGCCACATTGGTGCGGTCATTGAACTCCTCCCAAGTTTGGGACTTCTTGGAATCCACCAATGGCGCTTTGTAGAGGGAAATGTTGGATCCTCTAGACTCTAGCCAAAGTTTGCTTGTGAAGCAGTTGAGTCAGGTCTGTGTTGCCCGTCTTGCCAGGTCAGAACCCAGGCCAGTGATGAGGTTGTCCCCGGTATAGAAGGGTCCATCCGTCTCCGTGAAAGAGGTCCATTGGCAGGGCAGCTGAAAGGTTCCGGCTGGTCACAGTCAAAGTGCAAGACCAAAGGAGCCTCCAACAAGGTGGAGAGCAACAGGAAAGCTATCTGGCTCCCTTGCAAGGTGGTAGGAGCTCCAGTGTCCATGATGGAGGCCTTGAACTTACTTTGAATAACAGTGGCTGCCACCGCTTCCGGTTCATTCTGCCAGTCCCCGCCAATGATGAAGGGAGGCTGCAGGTGAGCCAAGGGAGGTCACCAATTGGCCCAAGATCTCAGAGTTGAGGGCTGACTGTAGGGATTCTCCCGTCTTGAGACAGAGCTGGATGATGAAGACTTGCGTCCCCCTGCCTCTGCATGCCATAGGCGGTCCATCCATTGTCCTCCTTCGTGAAAGTAAAAGCGTGATGGATCAGGTGCTTGGGAGAATGCAAGGTGAGGTGTATGTCTGTACCTGTATATATGTATACATATTGCGAGTGAAAAACACGAGCGGAAGGAGTCAGCACACAAGTGATCGCTCCTTTTTCAAAAACCGCAGGGGGCCTTTGAGTGCTGTACGGATGGCGACGAATTGTGGAACTGAGCATGCCGCAATTTGCACTGGTGGACATTAAATTAAACAAAGAGGAACAAAAACCAAGAACCAAACACACTAGTTTTCCATAGGTTTTATCCCAACAGCTTTTCTCTTTCTTGCTGACCTCATATTCTCGTCGTACACTATTCTCCACTTCTGTCCCAACTTGAAATATAATTGTAGTTGTCCCTTCTCTGTTGGTTTTGTCAACGAATTTCCAAGCTGAGCGTCTGAGTGAACCCATCTGAGTTCAGTCCCTGACTCTTCTGAAGAATCCTTTAGTGCCAACGCCTCTATGGTTGCCCTCTTTTCTTCTCCCTTGATTGTTGGAGTGTCCTTGTCCATTCTATCGTACAGGTTTTTGCTATCTGTAACAACAATGCCAGGTGAAAGTGCTACTATCTTGGCTGCTGACAATGTATTCAACACACACCTTGGAAAATGCATCTCTGACCAGAGGTATCTCATGTGATACAACTCGTCCTCTGCGTTGACCACGGCATGAACCTCTGCGCATGCAGGAGATCGGCACTTGCGTTCGATCTTTCCTGACTTCCAGCTGAGGAGAGAGACATTTGTCAAGGATCCATGTCTAAGAGCCTTTGGAGCAAGGCCCAGAACAATCCCTTCTGCGCTTGCTATGTTGTCTGGTCTGTTTGCCCAAGCGGCGTCACCCCATGCCACCAAAACAACATCTTCACCCTTTTGTAAGGCATGTATTTTGAGCTGCGGTGCGTTTCTCTGTACATCCTCTACTAGGTTGTTCAACTTCACAAGGTCCTGAACTGTACTGAGGGGGATTGTTGACACCAAGTAGTTCACATCTGCACTGTGCAAAACATTGGTTTGACCACAAACCCAACTCAAGCTTCCCAAGACTGCTCGCATCTGTGATTTCTCATTGTCTGTCGTGCTTTGTTCTCGTTGTCTAATGCGATCTCTAGAAAGTTTGATAGGAGTGAGTCCCTCAATAAATTCCTGTTGAGACAATGTGAACCCAAACTTGTCATCCTGAACCACTTTCACACCGCATTGAATGAATGGACTGTCCTCCCAAACACCCCACTGGAACTTTGCTTGTATCATACTCATCAAAATTTTGATGAACTGGATCACCGTCACAACCCGCGAATAAGAAGTCGTCAACGTGGCCACTAATGGCAGACCTTGGTTGTTGCTGTTCGTCGAAATACATCCAGATGCACGGTTCTGTCTTCATTCTGGTGTACCCAATAGAAAGCAAATAGTTTGAAACACTTTTGTACCACCACAATGGTGCTTCAACCAAACCATATGCTGCCCTCTGTAGTTGTGTGATGGACCCTTCTGGGATCTGTAGAGCTTCGCAGATCTCCTTGGTAGGTTGAACAAGCATCCCATTTTCCAGTTCATCTCCCTGGAGGAATGCAGAGCTGACGTCTCCCTTGCGCACACGGAAGTGATGTCTTGAGCAGAAAGCTAAGAATAGTTGTCTACCAGATCGGGATAGAGTAGGACTGGAAGTCTGTTTGTACTCGTAGTTCTTGTCTTGGTAGCCTAAGATCACTGCTCTGGCCTTAGCTTTCCTCGGACGTTCAGGATCATCCGTCAACTTCCAAGTGAGCACCCAGCGCATGCCGACTGCATCTCGAGCGTTTTGCAACTCCGGGGGCAACACTTTGAAACAATGGGATTGGATGTAGTTCCGAACCTCCTTACCTTTTGCACCTTGAAATTCTTCCAGTTCAGCATCTG